GGGTCCTTGGAAGCTTCCCAGATGAGTCTACTGTGAAGCAAGTTGGGGAACCTCCATTTCCTAGGACTCCTGCATCTCCAGCATTCAAGGATTCTGGACACACACACACACACACACACACACACACACACACACTGCATACAGAGAGATCACATGGAAACCCAGAGGCAAACCGATGTGCGCACACACCCACACAGGACCATGTACCTGTCCACCCACCTACCTGCACAGGTGTCAGTCAGCATGCTCACACACAAAAATGCACACACACAGAAGTGCACATGCAAATACAAACAGGCTTGCCTGTGTACAACCTTGTACAGGCACGTGGTGTGACAATCTACAAAGCCATGTGTAGTCTAAGACCCTGCCCCCTTGCCCCTCTCAGTGGGATCCCTGCCTCAAGGGAAGAGTTCTGATCTCAGTGCTATCAGGGTCTGGGCCTCCTTACCTTCACCACAATTGGCATCCTGGGGAAACGCTCCCTGTGAAAGATGCGGAAGGTGCCATAGTGGCCCTCGTTGAGATAGTACAACAGTTTCCGGTGTCCTCCTGGGAGAGGGGAGAGGACAGGACTGTGCTCAGTCAGGTGTCACCACTAACTGTCAGCACTGAGTCCAGCACCCTAGGACCGGCCAAAACCCTCTGCCAGCACTGGATAACCCTTCCCTGGCCCCCTGCAAGAATCAGGCCTATCCTCTGGGTTCCCACTGCTCCTCTGCCCCACCTGCACCCCATCACTGTGCTGGGGCTGCTACTGCCACTAAGAATAATATAAGTAGCCATGAGCAATGGCCCAGACATTTTTCCAACCTGTCTACACAAATAAAATTATTTCATTCTCCTAACGACACTCCGAGTAGGGACATGGAACACTACTGTACAGCTGAGGAAATTGAGTCTTGCCAGAAGTTGCCAGAAGCCAATTCCAGCATGTCAGCAGGGCTGAATCATCTAGAAATGGCTGAGGGCATTTCCCCAAACCTGAAAAGGATGCATTAAATGATTGCTTGCTGCCAGGCAGCTAAGGGCATCTTAATCTACATGTTATTGCCCCCTACTGGCCAAACACCTGAACAGCCGAAGGCAATTCCTCCAATCTGACAATGGATTCTGTGTACTAAACCCTGGCCTTTGATGTATATATCTCCGCCTTGCCTTAGGACAATTTTTGTTAATAAAAAGCAACGGGTCCTTAGACAGGGAGAACTTAGTTCCTTTAGCTAAGTCTTCTCTGGCCCCCCAAAATGCCTTCCAAAATTATGTTTCATCTCTGGACTCTTGATTAATTTACACACTGCGTTTCTCCAGATTCCTGAACCCTTCAAGATGCTGGATCAAGACCACCAGCATTAAGAAGTTACACAGGACAATGTGGCAGGGCTGGGATTAGTCCCCAGGTCAGGAGCCAGGTCTTCTGTCCTCACCTTGACCAGGTTCCCCGACACTGTAGGTAGGTTTTGCCTACAGTGTGAGGAAAAACCCAGAGCAAAATGCCTTTTTATGACTGTTAGGTCGGAGAGAGCCCAGGATCGGCTATATGCAGACGTGTGATGAGATAATGGACTCCCCCTGGCATTTCTAACAGATCAGTCTGCCAGACACAGATACTGGCTTCTCCCTGAATCAACACAAACCCCACACAGATACTGACTCCTTCCTGAATACCCCTGCTGACTCCCTGCAGTGGAAACTTCCTCAGCTGAATCCCTCAGCTCATGTTCCCGCCCCTCACCCAACCGCAGTATAAAAAAAGCGCCCCCCTCCCTGTTGGCGTGAATCCACGTGCCCTGTCTTTGGAGTACGTAGGTCTCCCGGGGACGCAATAAACCTTTTCTTTTCTTTTCTGATTCACCCGCCCGCCGGCGTCTCTGTCCGTAAAACACGGCTGCGTCAGAGATAGCCTATCCGGACCCTTCCAGGAAGGTTCCTCCGGACCTTGGAGAGGTAGCAGAGACGTCTGTACCCCACCCTGGTCCCTCCATCCATCCGTAGCGGGGTTAAACCGCTGGGACGCCAGCCTTTCGCCCTGCTACAGGCCACGGGCATCGAGCACGGGACATCCAAATTCCAAAATTGATCCGAGCACACCTCTAGGGTGTCTGCTCACCCATCTGGCTAAACGCTGGGCCTGCCCCGGACTTGTGTCCTAAATGCTTAACATAGCATGGCCTCAGCATGAAAACGGGACTTTGCCGTCGTACCGATCTAAGTAATTTCTGCCAGCGAATTGGGAAATGTGCCCAAGTCTCTCTCTCTCACTCTCTCTCTCTCCACCCGGTCTGCGTCCCTGTCCCTTCCCCCAAAGTTCCTTCTGCCGTCTCTCCTCGCCCTGTCCTCCCTCCTCCCTCTGGGCTGTCGCCCTGCCGCAGAGCCCGCGGTGTGTGCGCGGTGCGTGTGGAGGTGGGTTCATGTGCTGTGTTGGGGGGTGGCAACGGCACCACCGTCATCCCCGCGTCCTCCCACCCCCCTCCACCAGAGACCACCCCGAACTCTCCAGGCGAAAGCCTCCCGTTCTCCAGCCGGCTCATGCCCCTGTTGGTCCACACTCTCCCCTCCTCCCTCCCTGCTGGACCCTCCTCCAGCCATGCCTTCTCCGCTACCTACTGACCCCGCCTCCTGATGCCGCCTCCCCTCTTCCACCTGCCCCGAGACACACACACACACACACACACACACACACACACACACACACACACACCCCACCCCGCAGGCTCCACTTTCCTTCTGTCCCTCCTACCCTCTGCTCCACCCACGGGAGGTTGCAGAGTTCCCCGTGCGCTCGTGTTCATTCTAACCGCCCGCCTTCCTCTGTGCGCTCTGCCGAATCTCTGCCCCCATGACTGACAGCAATTTAAATTCACAGGTGGCCAGCCAGTTCCCTTTGCGAGAGGTTGCAGCTGGGCTCTCTTCAGACCCTCTTAACTAGCAGCTTCCTTCTCCCCTATCCCTGAGAGCCCAAATCCTGAGAACGTCAGCTCCAAAACAGCCTCTTCCATTTCTGCGCCCATTCTACCCCTGAGGGAGGCAGCAGGGACTGAGGACATAGTCTGAATCTATGCCCCCACCCTCTACGTCCAGCCTCACAGATTGAGAGGCATCTCAGGTCCTCTTCCACTGACCTGACCACCTTTACTGTAAACTTCCATAACCCTCTCAAAAAGACCTCGTTAACCTGACCTAAGGTCTTTAATAATAGAGATGAGGAGACCCAAATCCAAAATCAAAGGCGAGATCAGGCCAAGGCTGAGGCCCATTAGGAGGCCTTCCAGCTCCTAGCCACCGCTCTCACGAACCCCAAACGAAGTGCCAGTCCTCCAACTGCGGGTAAGTCAGGGGATAAGCCTCCTCCGGGCCCATGCCTCAAAAGCAGCGAGGAAAGACAGTGAGCCAAGTCCTGCTCAAACCCGAGACCCCCGCCTGGGCCCTGCCCAAGGTGCGGAAGGAAAGGCCACTGGAAATTGGACTGTAGTCTGGCCCTCCAGGTCAGGCCTCAGCCAGTCCAGCATGGCCGCCCTCTAAATCCGGTTTGGAGCTCCCAGACCTCCTGGGACTGGCCACCAAAGAAGCTGCCCAGGCCCCAACAGGGCAACACAGACTTACATCACCAGGACAGAGCTTCGGGTAACGACTGTGGTGGCAGGTAAGCCTTATCTCCTTTTTAATTGACACTAGGGCCACTTATTCTGCCCTCCCTGAATTCGATCCTTGTCCACTCAGTCTCTATTATGGAGGTTGACGGATCAGTCTCACAGCCATTAGACACCTCACTCTGCACTGCATCTTACTAAATTCCCTCATTCACTGTTTTTCTGGTTCTGCCTGGGTGCCCATCCTTCCACTCCTGGCCCCCTCCCTTCACAGGGACTCCAATTCCCCACTGCCATGCGTCCCGTTATGGGACCCTGTTGTCCCAGACCACAGTCGCCTACCTCAGTCTTCGCTGTGAATGCCTTATCTCCTTATCTCCTCCACGACTGTCCCCTCCTTTGAACTGAAAACTCTCTGACCTCAGCCCCTCTCGCCCCATTCCCCTCCACCCTTCCCAAAGGAAAAATGAGGCACCTTTAAAATCCAAGCGGCTAGAGGCCTGGGAACAGGCTGTGCGACCTGCTCCCTCCCTCCCCTGCCTTTTCACAGCCTCCAGGTCCCTGGCTTCTACTGCTCCGTCCCTTTCTCTTTTCCCTTGGATAACAGCGCATTCTAACATTTCCTCCCACTTTCACTGCAATACCTACCTCTCTCAGGCTCACAGAGTGCCTCCCACCATCCCCAAAGAAGATTTGGCGACACCATCCAGGACCAGATGACCCATCATTCCTCATAGGCTCTTACCTGGCAAGGGACCCTCCAATTTTTGCTCAGGTTTTTAATATTTTCAGGTGAAACGGACATGGAATGATGAGGAAGTCATCATTTCTACTGTCTGGGATGGGAAATCCTCTAGTGTCACTCTCTATTTACGAACCCTGGACCTACTCCTATGCCCACCCTCATCAACACAACTTTCCATCTACTCTCTAACATCAATCCCTCCTCCTCTACATCCTGCTGGATTTGTCTGTCACTGGCTCGAACCCTCATCATAGCCACTCAATTTCAACCTATTGGACCATCTAACTAAACTCTCTCTAGAAATTCGAAGCTCCTGGCCGGACCTCCTGCCCATGGCCCTGACCAAAATCCGGCTACACCAAGGAGCCCCATCTTCTTAAGCCCTTTTTGAACTCCTATATGGGAGACCCTTCTTGCTCAACCACCATCTCCTTACTGATCCCCCTCCCTTGGGTACTTATCTTCCATATCTTACCCAGGCAATTGCTCCGAGAACAGGTTTCTGACCAAGCCAGAGCTGACCGACCAGGACTCCCGAGGACCAGCCCTTCACCCTGGTGACTCGGTCCTCCTTAAGAACCTACATCCACAAGCCTTGGAGCCTAGGTGGACAGGACCTCACACTGTAATCCTCACAGCCCCCATCGCGGCCAAGCTGCTTGGCGACCCCAGCTCAGTGACCCGTCGTGGCACCACCTCTCCAGACTCAAGAGGACCCCAGAGCAGCATGACTTCTATAAATGTGAGGTGTTGGGCCTCACTAAGGTCCGCCTTAACTGCCCTCCCCTCCTCCTTCTCCTCCCAGCCCTGAGCAACCTACACCCACACCCACCCGCTTATGTGTGGAGGTTCAAGGTCCGTGAAACCTACTACCGGAATGGCAAACAAGTCACCCGGCAGGTAGGACCTCAGAACTGCCCTCTGTTCGGATGCCAGACAAAGATCCAGATGGCTGTCAACATCCAGTTAGTGTCCAATACTGGCCGACCCTATGCCTGTTTTGCTTATGACCAACGGGACCCAGACAGATGTAATCATGATGTCAACACCTATGGGGGTTGCCACTGGAGGGACTGTCATACCACACCGCAGCCAGTCTCACCAAGGCCAGCCTGGGTACCTTCTTTTGGTGCAACGGCACCTTAAGCAACTGCATGAACTCCTCTGACCCCGGGCCCTGCTTCGTGGTCACAGTAGTTCCCCAATTAACCTTGTATGGAGAGTCGGAGCTCGCCTGGTTGCTCCCTCCATCCCACCCCCGGACCTGCCGGACCGCCTTCCTTCCTGTCATTTTAGGGGTGAGTAACCCGCTGCCTCAGTAGGCCTCACCGGGGGGCCCTCAGGAACAGTCTGGTCACTGCTCAGGACTTTAATGACAAGCTCCAGTTAGCCCTGGAGTCTACTACCGCCTCTTTTAGCCTCCCTACAGCAGCAAGTGACATCAGTAGCCCAAGTAGCCCTACAGAACCGGCGCGCCTTAGACCTTCTGACTGAAGAAAGAGGAGGAACCTACATATTCCTTCAGGAAGAATGCTGCTACTACATCAACGAGTCTGGATTCTGAATGAAGACCTACATGCAAGACACGTCCAGGACAACTCTCCTTTCGGCTGGTTCCAAAGCCCCTTAGCTACCTGGGTCCTACCCATGATAGGGCCCCTGATTCTCATCTGTGTCTTTTTTTCTCCTAGCCCCCTGCCTCCTCAAGTTCATC